ATCAGGCCTCCCGCGGAGGCCCCGGACAGAGGCGGTGGCGGGGGTGGGGCAGCGGCGTCCAAATTTAAGGCCGGCGCCGAGCCCTCGCCGGGAAGGCATGACGCGGGCTCAGCCGTCGCGCCGCTGCGCGGGCGGCGAGAGGGCAGCGGCGCTAGTGGGCCAGTGGACCAGCGTCGGCCTCGGGGGACCTGATTCCCCGCACGAGCGCGCAGCGAGGGGGCGCGTGACACGTGCCGTGGAGAGGGCACCGGGATTCAGCGGGCCGACAGTTTAAGTGGCTTTCGAGTTGGAGCTCAATGAAAACCACTACGGAATGGGAACTCATCGCCATCGCGTTCTGCAAGAAATTAATTTACGCTTTGAGTTTTTATTTTTTAATTCTGTTACTTGCGTAACAACGTTCCGAGACTTTTAGGCGTTGAAAGTGGGCTAATTTTCCTTCAACACGTTCATGCACACGTCATTGCGTCAAGCAATTACACCTAATTAAACATATTCATCGTAACATTCGTCAATGAGTTACAATTTCTTATTTAATAAATGGCGAAGACCATGTATTACAGATTATGGTACTCAAAAATAAGTGGAAGAAAAAATACTCATCTTCTGTTTGAAACGACTTCGTCTCATCTGACTTTTCACGTAGAAGGAAACCATTATGATATTTTAAATGTACTATTTACTCTTACATATGTTCAATTTACGAGAATACGAATCTTGTGTGACAGGGTTATATGCAAGAAATAACAGAGCATATCATGTTCGAAAAGCTGCGTGTGGTTGACACGGTAAGTTAGATTGAAATGGATATATGGGGAATGGATTTAAATTTCGAAGAAACAAGGACAGTTTGTGATATATTCGTTTCTTTTCATCACCAGCATGCTATTGCTGTAGCATCCCCACACCTCTCACAGGAAATATACTTCAGTAAAATTCACCCATATAATGTGGATTGATTGGTCTATTGTTCTTTGTCTGATTGACTGTTGTCTGTTGATCTATTCCTTCTTCCTTGTTTTGATACTCCTAACATCCAGAAACATATATATTCTGGAATAAATACGAAGCGAAGGCGTACGAAGCAAAAGCGTGTCTGACACTGTCAATGAGAACAAGTGGACATAAGAAGTACGCACATAAAAAGTTTCTATGATTTTACTTATATTCTATTCTAAATATATAAAAGCGTACAATTTTAATTCATCGCAGCCTGCGTAGTGCCCTCTGTCTGTCAATTATAGTATCAGATCGGTAGGTGGCCCAATTTTAAAGCGTTTGAGCGAGCACGGAATAGCCAGAGAAAGTGGTTACAGTACTGCAATTGGAACCACCGCCATTAGTATTAGTAACCCACGCATGTTCCATCTCTGAGCTAAAATGACAAGATAACACAATCTGCTTTTAATGAGAACAAGAAAAAATTAAATATTTACAATTTTAAGGAAATTATTTAAACAAATTTTGCTAACTATGAAGGCATGAAAATAAGTACATTTAACGTCATTTTTTGTACGAGATAATAATAATAAAAAATACACGGGTAATTTTTAAAGTTTTAATTAAAATCGGCACTTACGTAATGATTTAGTGCATTGTTTTCTCTTCATAAGAAAACTAAAAAAAATAGGGTCCTTTTGGAGAAAATCTATTGTTTAGGTATTTGTGGAAAATTGTTACTTTTTCACTCGAACGTTGAAAAAATTAAACTTATATTTTGAAAAAAGTGTTCACGAAGTGTCCTAAACAGGAGAATAAAATGCATAAAAACATCTATCTACAATAATGTAGAGGTTGGAATTTGACAAAAAAGTTTCTTTTTTATATTGCCAGAGGTATTATTAAAAATAAGCCTTACGCCAACCTAGTAGACGAGATACTTTGTTGGAGGAAAATTTTTAAAGAAAATATTAGGAGTTTTTTTTTGAGAAAATGTTGAGAATTTTCTAGCGACTATGCAAGAATATACTAGCTTAGCTAAAAAAAATATTTTCTTTTCTTCCTTATTACATGCATAACTTCTATTCGTCATCCACGCCTTAAAATGATTCAATGACTAAATACATGACGCAATTAATTTCCCGTAAGATATGATTTGACAAATATTAACAAGATATATAATGATGTATACATTCTAATGATCCTTCTAATGATCCTTCAAAGACTACGAATCTTCTCTGCATTGTGGACATTGCACGGAATTTTTGTGAAGATATTAGAAAGAATAATATATATCCAATCTAATGATTTTTAAAATCGTTCTCTAAGGGCGCCTTCCCACGGCGCGACCGCGGCGCGCTTCCTTCAAGCAGCAGAGCCCTTTGGACGCAGCCACCGCCGGAGCCACGGCCTCACCGCCGCCCGCCGTGGAAGGGGTTGGGGTCTGGAGGGGTAGGTTTCGCTGACCCTCCGGCGACGACGAACAATGGTACCGGAGCAGGTAGAACGCTGCGGCCGTGGCGCAGTGGGAAGGCTCCCATTTAAAGCTGAGTTCTGCTAGCGTTGGCGCGTGCCGTCTCCTCCGCTTCGCGTAGCTGGTGTTCGGCGTCGGCTGCCGCAGCAGCCGCCACCCGCTGCACGTGAGAAGGCCTCCATTCAAACCAATGCTCTGCTATGCGCCGCTCTGCTGCGAAGCGCGTCGCGGTCGCGCCGTGGGAAGCGACCCTAAAGCTTGATCAAGTTCGCAGAAAATTAAGAATGCGCACGCGTGTGAGTGCATACATACACACATATCAAAGGTGTCAGACTGAAAACTTTCAGAAAAGTTGTTATAATGTTAACTAGTACTCATACTGCCACAGAATTGTTAAAGAACGTTTTACGCAAAGTGACAGATAACGGGTCCTACTTTGAATTATCCAGGACTTGTGCTCTAAGACTTTTCAACAACAATTAATGAATACGAAATGTGAAACAAGGTATTCCATTGGGGTGACACTGACTGCGTAAAGAACTTCTTCACCAGTACTTTCAACTCAGTACAAATGCAAGACTTGAAGAGTTATTTTGAGTAGTTCTAAATAAATTAACTCTGTTCAAAGTTTGCACACTTGGGATTTTCATCAAGACAAAGCATAAACTATCTAAGAGCAAATTAAATCTCTGAGCACCCTGCACTATGAACTTGTGCGCAGAAACCTGTATTACGAAAAATCATGGTGAGCTGCACGCTTGAGAATGAACAATATCTCACGCGCGCGAACATACGTACGCAATATCTCCTCACCTCTCCTCCTCTCTCTCCCTCTCCTCCTCTCTCTCCCTCTCCTCCTCTCTCTCCCTCTCCTCCTCTCTCTCCCTCTCCTTCTCTCTCTCCCTCTCCTTCTCTCTCTCCATCTCCTTCTCTCTCTCCATCTCCTTCTCTCTCTCCATCTCCTTCTCTCTCTCCCTCTCTCTCTCTCTCACACACACACACACATATACATTACACTAATTTCATTTCGGTACTATATCAGGTTTATGTTAAACTTACGATTCAACAAAGAGTTTGTCAAATAACTATTTACAATCACATGATCATTAGCGGCCACAGCTTGATAACTGTGGTCATAAATGATCACATAGCTTAAATCAAATAATCAATTAATAAACAAAAATTCTGTTTAGATATTAGTTTTCTATCTAAATTACGCTCATTCACGGTGTTATTAATTTTGATATTTCTCAACATTTTGTTTAACAATCACGTCGAAACTCTCTACAAGGACTTGGAGTAGACCGGCGATCAATATATAAAATCGCCTTAGAGTCTTAAAAACTTATTAAATAAACAATATACACTCTTTTTAAAGCAGTATTTCCGAAACAGTTATCCAGACTATAAAATGCAGTAATTCTGATGCGGCAAAGCCAGGTGAAATTTGAATCGCATTCGAAGACTTCTCGTCATACACTCCCATTTGTTTTTACCCGAAAGGTACCGGTTGATTCATATTCATATGTCTATGCCTTTTGCAGGGTAGAATGTTTATGATTTTTTTCTTACAAATGTATATTCAGGATACTGTCCTTCAGAAGTCACTTTATAAATTATTTCAAAATCTGAGTCTCAGTTATGATGTTTTGGTTTAATATTGACAACCTGTATTACTTATGAAAATCAGTTTATTCTATAAAAAAATTTTACAATGGACTTTCGATTTTCCTCCATGTGTTTAAAAGAACGGACCATTTGTTTTCGAGAAGCGTACTTCAACGTTCTTTCTTGAAGGACACAGTTTATTAATTTTATTTCTTTGAACAGTTCAAGTCTATTATTTACCAGGAACTCAACAACGCTAAGTAGACTCTTTAGCCACAGAACGACTTGAAAGAAACTGTAACTCCCTTGGGAGTGAAAGGAATTGTATTTGCTTTTTAAACATTACTCAATAATGTATTGATTTCAGAATGATCTGTGAATTTACCAAGTTACGATGTCAATATAACAGTGTAGAAAGTCTAATTATAGCAGCTTTTTAAGGGAAGGAGAAATCGTATGAGAGATCACGACTTGATCAATTCCTTCACATTAATCTGAACTAATTGGGTTGAATGTCTGAAATGTCAAACGGTATCAAAATGCATACCAGCAGAAATTATTTACCACACTAATTTGAGGAGAGGTACCTGGTTGTGGTCAAGTGTCTCAGAGTATTTTAGGTATGGTATGTGCTATTTTTCTAACCACGTCCAAGTTCGCAAGCGTTTATACAAAATATTTCTCTTGCAAATAATTGCTAAAAGGCGTGCACTTCAATAAGACCTTATGAATGAACTTCCCTTCGCAGAAGGCAGACAGTTTTGTCTCGCATTCATATTGCAAGGTCAATTTCAGATGGGCAATAATCACCGTTTACAATAATTGATCAATTAATACAGAAATTAATTTTGAAAAATGTTCCTCTTATCAAAAATTAACTATCTATGAGTTCATCGTGATCTTAATCTTAGCCACATTCCGTTAGCAAATTAATACAAACGACATCAAAACCCAGGAGCCAGTACTTCTCAAACTCGGCTCGTTCCACACAAACAAGATTTTTCATTTAATAGAACTTTTCTCTACTCACATATTCCACAGGGTAATCAACTTCGAAGTAATTTACCTGAAACAAAATAGAAACCAATATAAGATAATATGTTAAAGAAGACCAATACTCTAGTTTATCAATTGTTATGTTTCAAATATCCTGTAAAAATGAGGCGTGCCACATAAAGAAATGTATCAACGTATTTAGAATTGTACGCTAGATACCAGACTGGGCAGTCATATTCTGCAGCCGAGTAGCACAGGACAGATGTTTTTAAATACTTCGGTTGTGCTATTCCGTTAGTTCCCATCACTTTCCGTGCAATATTATTTCGGACTGTCACCTGTTTTTTTACAATGTAGGTAACGCGTCATGTAGATTAGTGTTCGATCTAGGTTTATCCCAAATATTTTGGATTCGGACAACACACCAGTAGGAAATCCTCCCTATTGAATCGGTGATTTGAAAAGAAATAAGTCCTTAATCCATAGTTCTGAGATCAAACTTAATAACATTGACAGTTGACATCTGGGACATTTTGTTCTGCACAAAAGGGGTAGAACTAGTTATTGATTGCTTGGGCTACTCAGTAACTTCAAATTTGCATATCTGGGATGTACACAACCGTTCCTTTGCCTTGGACGTTTTGCTTTATAAAATAATAATGCAATATTAAAAAGTATTTATTTCTTTATTTTAGGACTTCTTGAATAATATAATCATAGAATAAATGTGATAGTGAATCACAGAATGATGTGAATTAAGATATTGTGCTTTATGAACATGAAAAATACTCTTACTAAATTCATATCAGCACCTACTCATCTTCGATTTCCACTTGAGGCTATGGCTATGTCAAAACCTTTTTCGCAGATATGGAGATATTCGTTCGAGATGTATTTTACTATTATCTTGAACATCGGCTATTTTCTTTCCGTTGATTGGAAGAACAGCTGAGATATAAGCTTTCTGAAAAGGCTAATCTGGTCGTGCCTTCCTTTTTGCCAACATGAATGAGTACTTCATAACCCCATCTATATATCCTCTTTCATACGTTAGCTGCTTTACTTGGAAAGGGTCACACCAGGCTCACAATGAGGACTGACACAACGGGCAAGAGTCTTGGTAATCTTCTTAAAAACGCTCGAGACCACCAGATTTTGAAGTCTATGATGTCCTCAGTGTATTTCTGTGGTCATAAAGGATTTAGGCGTACAGCTAACACTAATACTTCTGTGTGAGACTCAGAAATTAGTCCTGGTCTCCGTCCTCTTTTCCAGACATTAAAATTTTTAGTTGGCGATATAACACATACTTTAAGCTGAACAAGTCTCATTTTTAGACTGATCTATATCATGAAGAATAACAAAGAAAATGTATATTTCCACTATCTTACGGAAAAAGTGGAAGTTTTTCCCATTTTAAAATTAGCAATTCAATTCACAAGCAGATATTTAATGCTAATCTTCAAATGAAAAATTTGTCTCCGGGTTTCGAAGAATTAGACGTAAGCGGAGTCGCACACTGCTGTTAGAACGTGACGTCAGGCCTACTGTTACTCACTTCAATCACCCCAAAAGTACCCAACTATATTTGTCAACATAAAGTTTGCGAGGTGAAAAGTAACACTCCACCACCAAACATTTAAAAATAGTTTCTGCTTCTAATCAATGATATGGAAACAGATTAGGACATAGGTTTTCCCACACATTATTTTCATATGACATTTACATGTTTTGGTGAAACCTTCATATTACATGTTTTCTAGAAATTATTTAAGAAACGAATAGGACTTTTGACATTTAGATTTCAAAATAAAAACACCTCAATAGAAATATAAGAAAGAAATAATACTCTTAATCAAAATGTTGATAGCCATAACAAAAACTGTATTAGAAAGTAGAAATACAGCATTATTTTATGCAAAAGTTATAGTGTACGTTTTACAGGAACAGGTGACAAATAATAAGTAAACATCTTCTGTTTGTAATTAATTTACACAATTATGATAACATTAACAAAGTAATTTTGTGTTGCCTTCCCAATATTCATCTCATGGACAACAGTTACTACTCTGTGATTGCGAAGTTACTAAAAAGAAAAATCATTCATTTCATTATCAAATAATTTGTTTACACAATTTGTAAACAGGAATTGCTGCAGCACTCATAAAGGAAAAAGGAAATGGAATAATTATTGGCAGGAAACGGAACACGAAACATTAATTGCCTGAAAAAAGCAGAAACTGCAGTTGGTGCTTTACATTTCTGACTATACCGAGAGAGTAAAACACAAACATTACTTTTTAGATAACATTGAATTGTCTAATAGTATTTACTTTACAGAACTCCTAATATTTCATTTGACCCAACACATTAATAGAAGTTAGAATCGTAATGAAATTTATTTCTTCCAATCAAGTATTACATACGTACTTAATGTGATAGTGTTTCAATAATCAATACAAGTTTGACTATAATGCTTCTTAAAATGGCAGATTGCGCCTACTCATCACTAGCACATAACTTACTTCATTCAAAAGCAAAAGGTCTGTAAAAATTGGAAAGTTGGCAACAAAGAATTGTCTACTGAAAGAGCTGTGATATGTGATTAAAAAACATGCTTGAAGAGTATCACATAATCTTTCACCGAGAAAATGCGTTCATGTTTGCAAATGAAACTGAGACCTAACCGATTACGTCAGGCTGTTTTGGACTAAGTCACAGCTTCGAGGGCTCTGTTTCTACTGTGTTATGTGGAATACGGATGTAAATGCGCAGATTAATATTAAGAAGACTAGTAATAGAATCAAGAAAAATGACGACTTAGATACTCCTACTACATGAAAATCACATAATCATTTTCCAGAAAAAAGTTTGCAATTGAAACCAAGATCTAACCGCCAGCATCAGGATCTTACGGACTGCTTTGAGCGTTCATCACTCTCACGTTTCCCCTGCTCTGTACGGAACACCAATGTAAGTGCGCAGAGCAGAATTCAGACGAGGATGACGACTAGAACAAAGAACAATTAGGAGTCAGAATCATCTTCTAGAGGAGCATCTCAAAATCATTTTTCAGAAAAAAGTGACCATGTTTGCAAATGAAACCAAGGTCTAACCGACAGCATCAGGTTCTTTCCGACTGGTTGGAGCACTCATCCTGCTGCATGCGGTGTAAGTGCGCAGACGAGGAGCGAATGATGGCGAGCGCGCGCTGGCGCGCGGGGGAGGGC